TTTTTTTTAAAGATTTTATTTATTTATTTGACGGAGAGAGACATAGCAAGAGAGGGAACACAAGCCGGGGGAGTGGGAGAGGGAGAAGCAGGCTTCCCACGGAGCAGGGAGCCAGATGTGGGGCTCGATCCCAGGACCCTGGGATCATGACCTGAGTCGAAGGCAGACACTTAACGACTGAGCCATCCACGTGCCCCCATGATAGCCCCTCTTTACCAGGCTTTATTTTATTTTATTTTATTTTGTAGAAGTCTATTTATTTTTGAAGTAATCTCTATACCCAGCATGGGGCTCAAACCTACCACCCCAAGATCAAGAGTCACATGCTCTTCTGACTGAGCCAGCCAGGCGCCCCCCTCTCTTTACCAAGTTTTGACGGATGACTTTTCTCTCTTTTTCCTCAGATTCCTTTTTACGAAGATATTTGTAAAGGCATTAAAGCTGGTGACACCTGTGAGAAGCTGGTGGGGTATTCGGCGGTGTATAGAGTCTGTTTTGGAATGGCCTGTTTCTTCTTCATCTTCTGCCTCCTGACCTTGAATATCAACAGCAGCAAAGGCTGTAGAGCCCATATTCACAATGGGTAAGTCTTTGGTCTTCGGGGGTGGGGGTGGGGAGTTTGCCCTTTCCTGATACTTAGAACACTGTTCCTCCATCTCTTGTACTCATCAGACTAACTGCTCTTCCCCTAGTTGAGATTGTTCACTCTGACTTTAGGGAAGGTGGGACTTGTCACCCCTCGGTGACACTAAGAACTAGAATCCTATTTGTAACACTTACTACCACAATGAGAGCTGCAGCGGAGACAAGAGTTTTTATTTCTCGTGCTAAGACCTGTCCCTACATCATTCCCCCCTCCTCCCAACAAAGTGGTGTTTTGCACAGAGGCCACGCTGAGTTGGTCTAATTATGGGAAAAGGCAGTCTCCAGTCACTTAATTACTCCCTCTCAATTTGGAAGGAACAGTACCAACAGCAGAAACACGGGCTGATGTGCTCACCTTCTAAGAGCTCTTTTGTCCTTCCATGAATATCATTTAAATACATTTCCTCTTTTTTTTTTTTATTTTTTTCCTTCCAGCTTTTGGTTCTTTAAACTTCTGCTGCTGGGGGCCATGTGCTCAGGAGCTTTCTTCATTCCAGATCAGGAGACCTTTCTGAATGGTACAAATGGGGTATTGGGGTACCTATTTATTTTGTTCTTACCCATTTTGTAAAATTGTTGCAAACTGTAGTCCAGGGTGCCTTTGATATTTTGAATTAGTGATTTTCTTGTGGTTTAATAAAAAATTCCCTCCTTACCTGCCCACACTTCATCCACCATCTCCTCTCCCTATCCCCTCCTCTCCCCCCTCCCCCCCTTCTTGATCTCTCCCCTGTTCCCTCTGTTTCTGGCTGGGTGTTACCTTGCAGCCTGGAGAATTCAAATGGTAATTTTAAGGCTATTGGCCTGAAGGGAAAATGGGGCACTTAAAATTTGTTTGAAAACCAGTTTAGCATGTCAGCGTGACACCATCAGCCATGTTTGAATAGGCCCAGGGAGGCCTTGTTCTTTCCCAGCACTGCCCAGGAAATCCGCCTACACCTGAAACCAACACCGGGCTTCTGAGCAGCTTCAAATCTGCTTGCAGCTGAAGTGAGATCGGAGAGGCTTATCTTACTTATCTAAACTTACCTTACGTGAAACTGTATACCATTGAATTATGTTTCTTTTTCACCAAATTTACCAAAATTAATTTAATTTGAAGCCTTTAATCATACCTGAAACGGGGGCCTTTTTTCAAAAGAGCCAGGGAGGGAAAAAAGCCTGAATTTCAGTGGCTCAAAACATAGTTTTAACCCAAATGAATTCATTTTTCTAGTTCAGGTAGTAAAAACATTCACGCTGTGTCAGCCCATAAGGAGTAGCCCACGGTCCCTCAAATGGTCACTAGGGTCCGGCTAATATTTAGGGTCATACTAGTTGGTTTTTTTTTTTTTTTTTTTAAGATTTTATTTGACAGGGAGAGAGAGCACAAGCGGGGAGTGGCAGACAGAGGGAGAAGCAGACTCCTCACTGAGCAGGGAGCCCGATGTGGGGCTCGATCCCAGGACCCCAGGACCGTGACCTGAGCCGAAGGCAGACGCTTAACGACTGAGCCACCCAGGTGCCCCTACTATTGTTTCTTTAAGATCTTTTCTGAGGATAAAACTAAATTGTCATGGTTCAGTTTTACTTCCAGCTTTGTGTCATTTTTTTCCTCTGCAATATTTTTTGTCTTGTGAATAACAGTTACAATGTGATTTTCAACTTATTTTTTGTTCTGAAGAATGTTCACCTTTGATGTTGATAAGAAGCAAAGTTTGTTTTTTTTTTGTTTTGTTTTTTAACCACTGGCTAGATCTTTATTTTCCAACATTATTAGTAGTAGACATATCCTGCTTGTTCTCATTATGTAAGATTTTAGTTATTCTGATAATATGCATAGGTTTTACATTGAAACCTTCTAGTTGAACTAGAATAAACCATTGTCAACCTTTATCAGAAGATTAAGGCTCAAAGAATGCCAGTGAATTAAAAAAAAAAAGCCCAATTAATATCCAGTTCACAGAGAAAAATACAGATAGCCATAAATTTAACAGAAGATGTGAACCTTACTTGTAACGAGGAAGATGGACATTGAAACAAGATAGTGTTTTTTATTGTTGGGAAGGAAAATTTTTCTCTACCTTTCAAGAATCTTCTGGCTGGTCTAAAATTTAAATTGACATGAGACAGATTAATCTGGGAAAGTCAAACTTAATTTCATACGTTTGTGGAATCCACATAATTTCATAAGCATGAGATTCCAAAGATGGGCAAAATGAGGTATATATGTCATCCTGAACTAAGGAGAAGGGGGGAAGGGGCCTGAGAACTCAATGAGAAGAAAAGCAATTCCCAGGAAGATGAAGAGGCATAAATGTTTGGTAAACATGTTTGCTGGGCCATACAGAAGCAAGGGACAGAGAGAGGAATTTTTACAAACAGACCTTGCTCAATTCTTCTGGTCTACCACACTGAGTATGCTGTACTTCTCTATGGTGTAGCTCTCTTCCTGGAGCAGGTCTCCTATTAAATTCTCCTTCCCCCCCCAAATCTAAATTTTTTTAGGCAATTAGCAGGGAAGGTCAAAGTTTTTTTGAGTCTTCTGGAACATGATTGTTTTCAGATCAAAATAATTCACATACCAAAGTGCCATATCTTGGGGCCATTTGTTTTGAAACTTTACATTATCTTTAAATTAGATGTTCAGGTTGGGAATGTGAGCAGTCTCAGATATTACTCATGAGGTATAAATTGGTGCAGTCTTTGAAAGCGTGGTTTGACTTTACCTCTTGAAACTTTAAAATTTGATTCCATTTCTAGGTCAGCAGTCCTATCCCATATAAATAATGGCACGTGTACAATGAAGCATGCATAACAGTGTTTATTGAGTCAGTGTGTGTAATAGCAAGAAAACACAAGTAACAGAAAACAAAAACATCCTCCCCAACATGTTCACTGTGGGAATGCTTATACTATAAAATATTAAATAGTGGTTAAAAAGTGGATCGGAGGGGCGCCTGGGTGGCTCAGTCATTAAGCGTCTGCCTTCGGGTCAGGTCATGGTCCTAGGGTCCTGGGATCGAGTCCCGCATCGGGCTCCCTGCTCTGCGGGAAGCCTGCTTCTCCCTCGCCCACTGCCCCTGCTTGTGTTCCCTTTCTCGCTGTGTCTCTCTCTGTCAAATAAATAAATTAAATCCTTAAAAAAAAAGCGGATCGGCTTATTTTAATTGGGAAAACACATATTGTAGAACAATACGTATACTCTTTTATTTAACTAAGTTGTTTGTTTATATACTGTATATATGGCACCATAGGTATGTATATGTGGGTACATTATGAGAATTAGGGATGGGGACACACTTGTAAACTAATAAAAATACCCACCAAATTGTTAACTCTTGAGAGGAGTGATATTTTGGGGTGGGAGTGAAAGAAGTCTTTCACTTTTTATTCTATATATGCATTTCAAGAAAAATATATCCATGTGTTACAAGTATAATTTTTAAAAATTCTGATGCTAGATTTCAGAATTCATTTAGGCTAAGTAAAGGTGAAGTGGTATGCTATAGCACTGTATCTTTAAAAATGATTCAGGGACGCCTGAGTGGCTCAGTTGTTAAGCGTCTGCCTTCGGCTCAGGTCATGATCCCAGGGTCCTGGCTCAGCAGGGAGCCTGCTTCTCCCTCTGCCTGCCACTCCTCCTGCTTGTGCTCTCTCTCTCTCTGACAAATAAATAAATAAAAATTATTCAGAAAAAATTAAGAAAAAGTCTTTGGAAGAGGGACTTTTTTCTCAGTCTGCATTTCTCTGGGCACAAGGTGCATTTCCATGTTGGATTTTGACTTGTAGGCTGAACAAACACTTCATGATAGCCCCTCTTTTTTTTTTTTTTAAAGATTTTATTTATTTATTTGACGGAGAGAGACATAGCAAGAGAGGGAACACAAGCCGGGGGAGTGGGAGAGGGAGAAGCAGGCTTCCCACGGAGCAGGGAGCCAGATGTGGGGCTCGATCCCAGGACCCTGGGATCATGACCTGAGTCGAAGGCAGACACTTAACGACTGAGCCATCCACGTGCCCCCATGATAGCCCCTCTTTACCAGGCTTTATTTTATTTTATTTTATTTTGTAGAAGTCTATTTATTTTTGAAGTAATCTCTATACCCAGCATGGGGCTCAAACCTACCACCCCAAGATCAAGAGTCACATGCTCTTCTGACTGAGCCAGCCAGGCGCCCCCCTCTCTTTACCAAGTTTTGACGGATGACTTTTCTCTCTTTTTCCTCAGATTCCTTTTTACGAAGATATTTGTAAAGGCATTAAAGCTGGTGACACCTGTGAGAAGCTGGTGGGGTATTCGGCGGTGTATAGAGTCTGTTTTGGAATGGCCTGTTTCTTCTTCATCTTCTGCCTCCTGACCTTGAATATCAACAGCAGCAAAGGCTGTAGAGCCCATATTCACAATGGGTAAGTCTTTGGTCTTCGGGGGTGGGGGTGGGGAGTTTGCCCTTTCCTGATACTTAGAACACTGTTCCTCCATCTCTTGTACTCATCAGACTAACTGCTCTTCCCCTAGTTGAGATTGTTGACTCTGACTTTAGGGAAGGTGGGACTTGTCACCCCTCGGTGACACTAAGAACTAGAATCCTATTTGTAACACTTACTACCACAATGAGAGCTGCAGCGGAGACAAGAGTTTTTATTTCTCGTGCTAAGACCTGTCCCTACATCATTCCCCCCTCCTCCCAACAAAGTGGTGTTTTGCACAGAGGCCACGCTGAGTTGGTCTAATTATGGGAAAAGGCAGTCTCCAGTCACTTAATTACTCCCTCTCAATTTGGAAGGAACAGTACCAACAGCAGAAACACGGGCTGATGTGCTCACCTTCTAAGAGCTCTTTTGTCCTTCCATGAATATCATTTAAATACATTTCCTCTTTTTTTTTTTTATTTTTTTCCTTCCAGCTTTTGGTTCTTTAAACTTCTGCTGCTGGGGGCCATGTGCTCAGGAGCTTTCTTCATTCCAGATCAGGAGACCTTTCTGAATGGTACAAATGGGGTATTGGGGTACCTATTTATTTTGTTCTTACCCATTTTGTAAAATTGTTGCAAACTGTAGTCCAGGGTGCCTTTGATATTTTGAATTAGTGATTTTCTTGTGGTTTAATAAAAAATTCCCTCCTTACCTGCCCACACTTCATCCACCATCTCCTCTCCCTATCCCCTCCTCTCCCCCCTCCCCCCCTTCTTGATCTCTCCCCTGTTCCCTCTGTTTCTGGCTGGGTGTTACCTTGCAGCCTGGAGAATTCAAATGGTAATTTTAAGGCTATTGGCCTGAAGGGAAAATGGGGCACTTAAAATTTGTTTGAAAACCAGTTTAGCATGTCAGCGTGACACCATCAGCCATGTTTGAATAGGCCCAGGGAGGCCTTGTTCTTTCCCAGCACTGCCCAGGAAATCCGCCTACACCTGAAACCAACACCGGGCTTCTGAGCAGCTTCAAATCTGCTTGCAGCTGAAGTGAGATCGGAGAGGCTTATCTTACTTATCTAAACTTACCTTACGTGAAACTGTATACCATTGAATTATGTTTCTTTTTCACCAAATTTACCAAAATTAATTTAATTTGAAGCCTTTAATCATACCTGAAACGGGGGCCTTTTTTCAAAAGAGCCAGGGAGGGAAAAAAGCCTGAATTTCAGTGGCTCAAAACATAGTTTTAACCCAAATGAATTCATTTTTCTAGTTCAGGTAGTAAAAACATTCACGCTGTGTCAGCCCATAAGGAGTAGCCCACGGTCCCTCAAATGGTCACTAGGGTCCGGCTAATATTTAGGGTCATACTAGTTGGTTTTTTTTTTTTTTTTTTTAAGATTTTTTTTGACAGGGAGAGAGAGCACAAGCGGGGAGTGGCAGACAGAGGGAGAAGCAGACTCCTCACTGAGCAGGGAGCCCAACATGGGTCTCGATCCCAGGACCCTGAGATTGTGACCTGAGCCGAAGGCAGACACTTAACCAACTGAGCCACCCAGGCGCCCCTACGGTCATACTAGTTTTATGTAGTCCTTAAGGGAGTTATATCTAAGTCTTGGTTTTTCCCAAAATTTTGTTAACTAGCTTTCTGTTCCCCACAGATGTACTTTTATGTATGAAAATGGTAGATTTAGGGGGCACCTGGGTGTCTCAGTCATTAAGCGTCTGCCTTCCGCTCAGGTCATGGTCCCAGTGTCCTGGGATCAAGCCCCGCATCGGGCTCCCTGCTCCGCGGGAAGCCTGCTTCTCCCTCTCCCACTCCCCCTGCTGGTGTTCCCTCTCTCACTGTGTCTCTCTCTGTCAAATAAATAAAATCTTTAAAAAAAAAAAAAGAAAATGGTAGATTTAGGATGGGAAGGGGCCTAGCAGTCCTCTAGTGCATCTTAGTCATTTTTATAGACAAGCTGTAACCCAGAGGAGTGACATGGCTCTTTCAAGGTTAGAACTTCCTTGTCACAGAGAAGTGGATCTGAGTCGCTTGGCCCCCAATCTGAACCTTATTTCCCTACTAGTCTCTGGTGGCTCCCTAGACAATACAGTTTGAATCCTTTTCCCTCTTAGTATGTGTTTTTACTTTTAAATTGTGGGTCATTGTTGATTCTGTGATTGGCTGCATCTGTTAGGCTGCCTGGCAGGTACAGTGTGTAGCTTAAGCTCAGGTGCTCCCGAGCCACACTCCTTGTGCTCACATCCCAGCTATGTCCTTTACTGGCTATGGGACTTTGTCCCATTTACATAGATTCTCAATTTTTCTTATCTGTAAAGTGGGCATAATGGTGGCACCCATCTTATGTGATTGCCTGGAAATTGAATGTGTTGCAGATACACTAAGAATGCAGTAAAGATGAACTATAGTCATTATTCTCCTTTGAGTTCAACACTGGAACAATCATCTCATCTCCTTTCGGATTATCTTCTTTTGCAGCCTGGCGCTATGTGGGAGCCGTCGGAGGCTTCATCTTTATAGGCATCCAACTCATCCTGCTCGTGGAGTTTGCACATAAATGGAACAAGAACTGGTATGTGCATTTTGGGAAAGTTTCCAAGGGAACTCACCCGTTGCTCAGAGAAACTGCCCACAGGACGGGGTTGATAGAGGCTCGACTCTGAGTTGCACTGGCCGGGATCAGCAGCCTGCTCACGCCTCAGACAGCTTGCCGGCACTTTCCCTGCACTCCTGCTCTTTGAACCTTTTCATTCACTCCTCTCCCGTGCTGTTTTTCTCTCCTTTCTTACTTTGCTTATAAAATATGAATGAAGGGGCGCCTGCGTAGCTCAGTCGGTTAAGCAGCTGACTTTGGCTTAGGTCATGATCTCGGTCCTGGGATGGAGTGCATGAGCATCAGGTTCCCTGCTTAGCAGGGAGTCTGCTTCTCCTTCTCCCCCTGCCCTGTGTGCAGCTACCCCCCTTGTGCTCTCTCTCAAATAAATAAATGAAATCTTTTAAAAATATATGAATGAGGGACGCCTGGGTGGCTCAGTTGGTTAAGCGACTGCCTTCGGCTCAGGTCATGATCCTGGAGTCCCGGGATCGAGTCCCGCATCGGACTCCCTGCTCAGTGGGGAGTCTGCTTCTCCCTCTGACCCTACCCCCTCTCGTGCACTCTCTCTCACTCTCTCTATCTCAAATAAATAAATAAAAAAATATATATATATATGAATGAAAATACCTATTGTACCTAGTAAGACTTTTGTTATTTTGTAGATTTTGTATGTATCATGTTATTTTATACTGTTTTGGAAAAAAATCAGAAATAATGTATGAATTTGAAATTTATTTTTTATCTTGGACAAAACAAAATATATGGTCCAAATTCTTTGAAAGTACTTTTTTTTTTTTAAAGATTTTTTAAATTTGTTTGACAGAGAGAGCGCACAAGCAGGGGGAGCGGCAGAGGGAGAGGGGGCGGCAGAAGGAGAGGGAGAAGCAGGCTCCCTGTTGGGAGGACCCCTGAAAATGCTTCTCATTCTTTTCATTCTGATTACATTTCTCAGCTTGGTAGTAGTAGTTTCATTTGGGTTTTGGTTTTGTTTCTTTAGAGAGCAAATCAAGAGGTGTGTGAGTGAAAGGCTAGTGTTACCATTTTATAATTTGGTAAATATTGGAGTAAGTACCCAAATACTTAGAGTCAGTTTTTAAAATGTTTACAGCACATTGAATAGTCACATAGGTAGCACTACAGAAATTTATTTTGTCTAATAAAAAATCATCCTAAGTCTTCCTAAAATTTTCACATGTATACTTCAAAACGGGGAATTTTTAAAATAATAACATCTTCAGTACTGAGTGCCTGATTTGCCCATTAAGTAGTATGTTCTCTCGAGAATACTTGTACATCTTCAGCTCTGATTTGATTGTTTTGATTGATTCTGAAGCCATTTTCCGGTACTAATTATTGATGCCAAGCTGTAACAGGCATTTTGGAAGAGTTTGGCTGCTATGAAAACGTTCCAGAAACCACTCAGTAAGAATGGCTTAAGAGCTTTGCAACAAATGATGTTATTGTTGTCTCAGCGTTGAGGGTAATACCCCAACAAAATCCCTTTTGTCAACATACTCATAGTTGATTTGTCTGCCTAAAATTAGGATTAAGCTAGGAAGCTCACTAATAATGTACTTTCAGGTAAATTAACTTATTAGTTTTTGGGGGGCATCTTTTTTAACTAAGACTGTTGCTTACAAGGTTAGTCTAGAAAATATAATACATTGCTCCTAATGGAACAACCAAAGTGCTTTTTCTTCCCTTTTCTTCTCTCTTTTCTGTTTTTTTGTTTTTTTTTTTAGAATTTTCTTTATTTGTCAGAGAGAGCACAAGTAGACAGAGCGGCAGGCAGAGGGCGAGGGAGAAGCAGGCTCCCCGCTGAGCAAGGAGCCCAACGTGCGACTCGATCCCAGGACTCTGGGATCAAGACCTGAGCCAAAGGCAGACGCTTAACTGACTGCACCACCCAAGCATCCCTGTTTTCTCTTTTCAGTAAACATCTTCAGAAGGAAAAGATCCCAATGGTAGTAGGATGGAGGCCCTGGGCCCAGAAACCAGCAGGCTCCGGATGTTCGTGTCCCCGCTTCTCTAGTTCAGTTTTCTTTTACGCATATTACTTGGCCTCTCTGACCTCACTTTTCACACCTGCAAAATAATATGGTTGCATTAGATGTTTAATGTGTTTTTTTCTTTCTACCTCGAATTTTGTGATTTGAAGTGACAACTCTTAAAAATGAAATAGCAAAAAGTAGAAGGTACATTCCGGTGTTTCTCACAAAGGACCCATCTTCTGAATGTGCTAGATTTGTAATTTCTATTGTGGTTGGGTTCTCCTGAGTCCTGAGCCCAAGTGCAGCTGACTCTCCCAACCCGGTGCCTGCTTACTTTGTTGGTGCTCTGCCCATTGTCTGGTCCTTTTCTCATTTCCTTCCAAGTGCTTCTTTCCATTTAGCATTTATTCACATTTTGGAGGAGTATTAAGTGTGTGCCCAGACAGTGTGGTGGTAGGCACTGAGAGTATAAAGAAAAATAAGTCATGGTACTTAGGTGGGACTTCTGCAAGAGCAAGCTGTCACCGAGGAGGAAGCCACGAATCTGGAGCCACGGGAATGGCAGCCATTTTGCTACCATTGCTGCACAAAGTTACGTTTTAACCGTTGACAGTCCTCGCAGCAGTATTCATTAAGCACATACTATCTGCCAGGCACTCAACGGCAGGAGAAGAGCAGTGAACACAGTGATGTCCTGCTCTGTGGAGCTTACCTTCTCCTTTTGGGGAGGGCAGGGAGCATGGGTAGATCATCGGTTTATGACCAAGCAAATAAGTGACAGGCTCGATGGGGAAAAGACTGGAGGAAAAGAAAGCAGGGTGTGGGCTTTGGGGAGAGCAGGGCAGGGAAAAGCTTCACGATCTGGTGTGAGAGAGTTAACTGCGACCAGAAGGAAGGGGGAGAGATGGAGGCAGGACTCTGCTTGTTGAGGGGCAAATGGGCATCCTCTGTGCCGCACCCCAGTGCTGAGGGGTGGGCACCAGAGGAGAGATAGGAGATGGCATTGGGTCAGATCATGGCGGGCTTCTGGGGCTGTTGTGTGAGATGGAAGGGCATCACTGGGGTTTGAAACAAAAAGAACATGATAGGATGTCTATTTTAATTACAGAAAAGATTAGAGGGGGAAAGAGTTGCAAGTAAGGAGACCCATGGGAGATAATCCAGGTGAAAGATGACTGTAGCTTGAACGATGATAGCAGCAGTTAGGTTCTGGTATATTCCAGAGTTGGAACTCGTAGATTTCGCTGATGGTGATGAGGACATGGTGGGGGAGGAGGGAGCCAGGAGAGAAAAATTGCAGTCAGGAGCTGTTTTCTTTTTGTAAAAAATTCCTCTTCTCAGGGCACCTGGGTGGCTCAGTTGGTTAAGCGTCTGACTCGTGGTTTTGGCTCTGGTCATGATCTCAGGGTCGTGGGATCAAACCCCACCTTGGGCTCTGCGCCCAGGGCAGACTCCGCTTGTCCCTCTCCCTCTGCTCCTCCCCCTGCTTGTGTGTGTTCTCTCTCTCTTTCTCAAATAAATAAATAAAATCTTAAAAAAAGAGAGAGAAAGAAAGTCTTTCATATGCTAACAAGAGCCCAAAAGACCAGTGGAGAAACAGTCGCACCCCACCCACACTGGTCAGCCGTGTTCACCTTTTTCTACGCGATGCGTTCTGGTTCTCTGTCATTGATTACCATTTGGCTTTCAGATTTTTTTTTTTTCATTTCTCGAGTCTCATTTTCTGTCATTTCCTTTGTGTGCCTTTTATGTTAGACTAATTCTGTGGTCATTGAGTGCCTGGCTTGGTTTCAGGAATATGATGGTCATTATCATTTCTGTCTTTCCTCCTGTTTGTCTCTGGCTGCAATAACTTTTTCATAATTAAAACATTTTAGCTGAGTTGCCTGAATACTTTCCAGTTTTGTGAAAACGTTAAGCAAGTTGCTTTCTCTGTGAAGTTTTGTTAGAATGTGGTTACAGTGGGGCCGTTTAATCATAAGGCAGATGACAGTGATTCAGTCCGTGCTCCCTCTTGTTCTGTCCTCTTTGTTTAGTGGTTTTGAACATTCTTTTTTGTTGTTGTTCTGAATGATTTCTGTAGGTTGTTAAACCACCACTTATTTCTCCCATTCCTTTGTTAATAAGTATATAAACTGGAAAGCAAATTAATCTCTTTAAGTTTCTTATTATAATCCTGTTATAGTTTTTACTCACTGCGCAGCTGATTTTATTCTCTTTACACTCTCCCTCCATGCCACGTGGCATTGTTCTGGAGAAGCAGTACCACAGTCGATGCCCCTTTGCCGTGGAGGGCTGCAGGGGCTGAGGTCCGCCAGTGTTTCTCTGAGTGAAGGTCGCTTGCTGCTTCTCTCCCCAAAGAGAAGCTGCGGCAGCACCTCTAGTAGGATGCGGTGCCATGTCCGGGCTCTGTGTTGAGCGGGAAAGCGTGAAGAGAACCCCATCCAAGAGCCACTTTTTCTTTTTTAAAGATTTTTTAATTTATTTATTTGACAGAGAGAGAGAGAGCGAGAGCAGGAACACAAGCAGGGGGAGTGGGAGAGGGAGAGGCAGGCTCCCCGCAGAGCAGGGAGCCCGCTGCGGGGCTCGATCCCAGGACCTGAGATCATGATCTAAACCAAAGGCAGACGCTTAACGACTGAGCCACCCAGGCGCCCAAGAGCCACTTTGTTTTTAAGACTTGCCAAAGCTGACCCCAGGGAGATTCCTATTCAGAATGGGGAGGGTAGAGTCAAGTCTGTGGATGTGCATTTTAGTTGATGAATACACATAAAAACAGAATGTTTTAGTGTTTAGAAAACATCCTGAGCCTGAACCAGAACTGTTTTGCATATTTTACCTGTACCTTCTGGCTTTGCTGGAGCATGACTGTGGCAAAAGGGTAGGTCTTCTGGACACCTGGGTTTCTAATGGCCTGGGGCCTGAGAGCCCCGCCAGTGCCTGAGGGGTGGTAAATGTGGTCAGAGAATGGGGGCTTCGTTGACTTGTCTTCCCTCCTCTCCCTCTTACCCACTTGTGGAGAAACAGGACGGCAGGCACAGCCACCAACAAGCTGTGGTACGCCGCTCTGGCCCTCGTGACCCTCATCATGTACTCCATTGCCGCCGGAGGCCTGATTCTGATGGCGGTGTTTTATACACAGAAGGACGGCTGCCTGGAAAACAAAATTCTCCTGGGGCTGAACGGGGGCCTTTGTCTGCTCATTTCAGTGGTAGCCATCTCGCCCTGCGTCCAAAATCGTAAGCACGTTTTTTCCCCCTTCCTCCTTATTTATGTTTTGTTGTGTGTAAGTTTGAGCAAAACCTCATGTTTTTAGTTGTGTTTTTAAATTATGGTCTTTCCTTAATTTACCATGGATGGGTCGGCCATAGGAAGGGTGGGACTGCAGTCTCCTCTTCATATCCCACACTTGGGTCGAATGTGATCGTTGGCACGCCTCAGGTCAAGAAAGATCTGAACGTAGTGAAGTCAATAAATAGGAAGACAGATGTTACCATTATTATTATTTTTTAAATATTTTATTTATTTATTGAAGAGAGAGACAGGGATAGCGACAGAGAGTACAACACAAGCAGGTTAGAGAGGGAGAAGCAGGCTCCCCGCTGAGCAGGGAGCCCGACGTGGGGCTTGATCCCAGGACCCCGGGATCATGATCTGAGCTAAAGGTAGACGCTTAACCGACTGAGCCACCCCGGCACCCCAGATGTTACCATTATTAAATAATGTACTACAAGGAGCCTTTAAGTGGAAGATGCCTTGAGTGTATATTAATAACTATAATCCCTGTGTAAAACTGGAATGAGAAGGCTCCAGAAGGAGCTCTTTCTGGGCTCATCTTTCACCCAAGGCCTCTGGGTCAGAAATCGGGAGCCATGTGGCCTAGGAGTCAGGAAGCAGGAAATCCAGTCTGGCTGAGCCAGTAGCTGGCCCCACGAGCTAACCTTCCTCAGACCTCAGTCCTTTCTCAGCAAAGCCAACAGAAATCTGTAAACCTTCCTGGCCCAAGGTTGTTTCAAAGGCAAATAGAAGAGGGGTGCCTCGCTGGCTCAGTCAGTAGAGCATGTGACTCTTGATCTTGGTCATGAATTCGAGCCTCACGTTGGGCATAGAGATTACTTAAAAACAAACAAAAACCCACAGAGGCAAAAAGGAAGGGATAATGGGATTTGAAAGTGCTTTAGAAAGGCCAGGTCTGGTTTATCTTTTATAAACAACTTCTGATGTCTTAAGCCAGAATACCATCTTTGGCTATAGAAAGAAGTAGTCAGGGGCGCCTGGGTGGCTCAGTCGTTAAGTGTCTGCCTTCGGCTCAGGTCATGATCTCAGGGTCCTGGGATCGAGCCCCGCATTGGGCTCCCTGCCCTGCTGGAAGCCTGCTTCTCCCTCTCCCACTCCCCCTGCTTGTGTTCCCTCTCTCGCTGTGTCTCTCTCTGTCAAATAAATAAAATCTTTAAAAAAAAAAAAATAGAAAGAAGTAATCATAGTCTAATATTCTTGAAGGTATCTTACTCTACAGGTGATGAAATGCAAATGATATCCAGGTTTCTAATAGGAAAAGGGAAAGGTGGCCAATAATTTATAGTCCCTCAAATCATTTCTAAAATGGTGATTTAAAAAGTGAACTAGTCTTAGGGTGCCTGGCTGGCTCCATCCCGATTGGAAGAGCGTGTGACTCTCGATCGGTGGAGCCATGAGTTCAAGTCTCACGTTGGGTATAGAGATTACTAAATTAAATAAACTTCAAAAAAAGTGAACTAGTATTGAATAATTTAAAGGTTTTCTGGTACTGAAAATTTCAAGTACATTATTGAAATTGAGAGTCCTAATCTCCTAGTCCCTTTTACTGATCAGTTAAGAATTTCCTAAAACACACTAGTGTTCAGATTAAACTACCATTTGGGTTAAATCCTACTTTTTAAAATAGTTATAATATGTTGGGGTGCCTGGGTGGCTCAGTCGTTAAGAGTCTGCCTTCGGCTCAGGTCATGATCCCAGGGTCCTGGGATCGAGCCCTGCATGGGGCTCCCCGCTCAGCGGGAAGCCTGCTTTTCCCTCTCCCACTTCCCCTGCTTGTGTTCCCTCTCTCGCTGTGTCTCTCTTTGTCAAATAAATAAATAAAGTCTTAAAAAATAATAAAATAGTTATAATATTTTGAAATATTTGGTTTAATGCCATTATTTGCTAAAGTGAGTCTTATTCCCGTGCCAAAGAGCAGCATTATAAAAGACTATTTCTGTATCTTTATTGGTTAGTACAATTTATTTTATTTTTATTTATTTAATTTTTTAAAAGATTTTATTTATTTGAGAGAGAGAGGGCTGAGCACGAGTGCGGGGCAGAGGCAGAGGGAGAGGGAAAAGCAGACTCCCCCTGAGCAGTGAGACCAATGTGGGGCTTGATACCAGGACCCTGAGATCATGACCTGGGCCAAAGGCAGATGCTTAACTGACTGAGCCACCCAGGCTCCCCTGGTCAGTACAATTTAATAATTAAAACTTGAAACAAATTTAATCAGAGGGAAGACTGGATGAACTAAATCCTTTCATGTAGGCAGGTGGTTGAAAATTCCACCAAAAAATGATAAATCCTTTTTGTCATATCCTGGTTACTCTGAATGATTGAAACAGTTTAATTTAAATATTATAACATATTAAAGCTCTTCCCTCAATGAATGCTGAGCCCCAGTGCCTTCCTCTTTACCTGAACTGGTATTCCCAAAGGTGTTGTTTTTTGGTTTGTTTGTTTGTTTTTGTCTATTGACAGGTCGAGCTTTTTTCCACTGTCATGGACTTTAAGTGTCTGATGGCTTTGTAGAATCTGGAATCCATGCCCTATGAAATCTGTCTCCCATTTACTTCACTAAGCTATGTGGTCTCACAAATAATGATGGTGAATTTTCTTCTGAGGTCTTAATATTTAAGAGCTCGTGTTAATGAACCTCAGGAGGACTAGGCAGTATGTTTAAGTACAGTTGTTACTTAAAAAAATTTTTTTTTTAAAGATTTTATTTATTTATTTGACAGAGAGGGACACAGCGAGAGAGGGAACATAAGCAAGGGGAGTGGGAGAGGGAGAAGCAGCCTTCCCGCGAAGCAGGGAACCCAGTGCGGGGCTCGATCCCAGGACCCTGGGATCATGACCTGAGCCAAAGGCAGACGCTTAATGACTGAGCCACCCAGCCGCCCCTAAGTATAGTTGTTATGAAAATAACATGGTGGTAGAGCACTCAGCAGAACCTGGCATCTCTAAAGTAACATAGTTAGGCTTAGTGTATAATTCCATCCACTTCCCTGTCTTTTTAGTGTTGTTTGGAAAATATGTTATTGACCTCTTCTTCCCTTTAAAGATGGGGGTCCAAGTTTGAGGAGTATCATTTGGGGATGGGGACCTATGTTTTTAGGCTTTCTTATTTTTGAAATTTAAAACTCTGTGTTAAAATCTGTCACTTTGACTTTCCAGGACAGCCCCATTCCGGGTTACTGCAGTCAGGGCTCATAAGCTGCTACGTGATGTATCTCACTTTCTCGGCGCTGTCCAGCAAACCCGTAGAAGTAGGTAAGCCAGCCTGCCTTCTTAGGGAGCGTGGGTTTGAATATTTTCATTGTAGAGGAAGGAGTATGTCTCTACTGAGCTGTTGATGAGAATGTCAGAGATGTAATAATCAATATAGATGATCTGGATTTTTCACTAAATAATGTCCTTAACGTGGGATACGAAAATGAAAATTTCTTCTTCTGAGTCTTCCCTCTGTGTAGGAAAGACAGGAACAAAGATGGGCTGTTGAGTTTGCTTTGGGGCTAATCTACATTTTCCTGCTCTGTGTTTTCAAGGAACATCATTGTGTTTTGTTTATTTTGCGTTGTCTTTTTCGTTGGTTACTAATTTCCTTTTCTTCAGGTGGTCATCTCTCTGACTGTAAGAGAGGGTGGGAGGAACATGGGAGTGGGAAGCAGGAGACAGGACTTGAGCCCAGCTCTAACGTTGGCTGACTGTGTGACCTTGAATTGCTCTTCTTAAATGTTTATTTATAGCGACAACACAACATGTATGAGCTTGGGAGTCAGACCGCCTGGGTTTGTAGCTTGGTTCTGTCACCTCAGTAACTTGTAGAGGGTTATTTACCTCTCTCTGCCTAGATACCTTGTCTTTAAAATGAGGATTTTAATTATTATTTTAACAAGGTAATTAAATAAGATTCCTATTTTATAGGGTGGTTTTTAAAGAATTCAATGAGTGTGTATGTGTGTATGTATATATGTGTTCCTGGCATGTCGTAGGTACTCTATAAGGGTTAGCTATTGTTATTGTAGTGGTTGTAATGATTATTTGAGAACTATAAGAGCCCTATTCTATTATACATTGTTATTATCTGAGCCCCTTGCCAGTAAAAGACCAAAAGACCATTTCTTATTTTGATTTCTGAACTCATTATATTTCATCATCCATATTGCTTTTGTGATATATAAACGTGTATATAAATGTATACACACATATATACACATAAGTATGTGTGAATGTATGTATGTTTGGGTACATTTGATCTTGTATAAATCAAGTTAAATAAATGTGCTATCTTTTCTCTAGAATAGAAAATTGAAGTTGTTTTCCTTTTTTAAAAGTAGAAAGTAAATGCAAAGATAATTTTGAAAGTTTTATATACATGTATTGTGTGTATGAGTCTTGTCTTTATAGCTATTTATAGTGCAAAGTGATACAATTGTAGGTCTTATATTAAGTACGGTCTATCCTGGATTTAATTTTTTTTTTTTTTAAATAGCTCTATCTTGACTCTAAGTTTATTTAGGTCTAGTTTCTTTAAGACTTTCTTTTATGACTATTAATTTTTGGTTTTAATGTAATGAGGTTTTTGGCTACAGTGTTTTTCTCTTAAATGGCAGGTATCACTTACAAATAGAAAACTTCCTTTTAATTTCAGGTGGTACTACTTAAATAGAAAAGTTCATATTTTGGTCAGTTAAAAAAATTTTTTTTTTCATTGGCCTAAGAATAAAGATTCCTTACACCACAGTGCACACAGCTGTTTTTGCTGTCTCAAATGTGAGTGCCAGTAATAATTGTAGTCTGTCTTCTAATACTTAGAATGTGCATGTTTGTAAAATGGATTTTATTTTTATTTATTTATTTAGGGAGGGGGAGAGGGAAAAGGAGAGAGAATCCCAAGCAGGTTCCACACCCAGCATGGAGCCTGATGTGGGGCTTGATCTCACAACCTGGAGATCATGACCTGAACCAAAATCAAGAGTTCGATGCTTAACCAACTGAGCCACCCAGGCACCCTACCTCTTGAAACTTTTAAGAAATCTAGAAAACATGCAGGATATTCCCAGGTCACACGCTATTTTTTTATTTTAAAACCTTTTTTCTTTTTTTTAAGAGATTTTATTTTTAGGTATCTCTACACCCAACGTGGGGCTTGAACTCACAACTCTTGAAAACAAGAGTTGCATTCTTCTTTGACTGAGCCAGCCAGGCGCCCCAGGATGTGTTTGTGTTTAGCACTTACTTTTATTTTTTTAAAAGTGGGTTCCACGCCCAATGTGGGGCTTGACCTCATGACCCTGAGATCAAGAGTCACTTGTTCTACCGACTGAGCCAGCCAGGCAACTGACGCACACATGCTGTTTTTTCTCACACCTTTGCACAGGTAATTTTATTCTCTCCTGTGGGTGTCAGCAATGTTCATAGACTGTAATTTGAAACACTCAGAAAGCACATACCTGAGTATTGTCATTTTTTTTACATCATGATTCAGTAACTACTAACCAGTTACACCTATTAAATACAGTGGAGAAAATGATATATCTGTACTGTTCCCTTGTAAACAAGGCTTTTGTGCACAATAGTAACAAATGGAATTAATGCATACTACAGCATCATTGAGGAAAGAACTTCTCTTTAAATAACTCTTCTATTTATAAATAAACTGATGTTTTTTAGCACTGTAGATTTAGTACATTTACAGACCTGATCAACAAAAAGAAACAGGACATATATATTTTTTAAAAGAAAACGTAGAGGGGTGGTGCCTGGCTGGCTCAGTTGGTAGAGCATGTGACTCTTGATCTCGGGGTTGTGAGTTCAAGCCCTGTGTTAGGTATAGAAATTACTTAAAAATAAAATTTTTTTTTTTTTTTTTAAGATTTTTATTTACTTGTTTGAGAGAGAGAGTGAGGAGAGAGCGAGAACATGAGCTGAGGGGGTGAGGAGAGGGAGAAGCAGACTCCCCGGCTGAGCAGGGAGCCTGATGTGGGGCTCAATCCTGGGACTCCAGGATCATGACCTGAGCCGAAGGCAGACGCTTAACTGACTGAGCCACCCAGGCACCCCCTTAAAAATAAAATCTTAAAAAAAGAAAGAAAGAAAGTGTAGAGAAAGGGACCATTATGGAAGACCCTTCCTGGGAAAGGAGGTAAGAAGTAAGCAAAGGATAATAGCATCACGACCACCCTATTACTGACAGTAAAGGGACTTCGCATGTGGGTGGAGGCTTTGGACCGGGTGGCTCTTGCACAGCCAGTATGTATTTGGTTGTTGAGTAGCCTCGACACGCTTCCAGAGAGGATAGACACGGTGGAAACTCAAGAATGTCTGCATACTACCTCTGTTTAGAGCCTGCTAAGTCAACTGAAAAATAGGTATAGTTTTACTTTTTACTAGTGTTAGAAGAGTACTGAAAAGAGCAAGACTCTTACTGCATCATGACATGGAGAAACCCTTTGGCATTCAGCTGGAATCTGAGGGTCTTGTTCGAAGAGGCTGCTTAGGTGGGAGGGGGTGCATTTTTTTTTTTTAAAGATTTTATTTATTTATTTGATAGAATAATGCACACAAGCAGGGAGAGCGGCAGGCAGAGGGAGAGGGAGAAGCGGGCTCCCTGCTTAGCAGGGAGCCCGATGCGGGACTTGATCCCAGGACCCTGGGATCATGACCTGAGCCCGAAGGCCGACTGAGCCACCCGGGCGCCCCAGTGGGTGCTTTGAAATAGCAGCAATCTAGTCTGACTTCAGGGGGACTGTAGAGTAGGAGTTTCCAATAATAAGCCTTCACTCTTCCAAGCTACCCAGATTTCCCCCAAATGAATGTCTGTCTGCTACAACAGGCTTTTCTAATTAACTGTGATTACTTTGTCTTTTCCTTGTAAGCTCTAGATGAGCATGGGAGGAATGTGACGATCTGTGTGCCAGACCTTGGTCAGGACCTGTACAGAGACGAAAACTTGGTTACTGGACTTGGTACCACTCTCTTGTTCATGTGCATCTTATATTCGTGGTAAGTCTTAGGAGATACTTGAGGCCACCTTTGCAACTTTAAAAGTACGGAGGAAATTTTAAGAAAGGTTTAGCAACAGCAGCGAGGCAGCGAAACAAATCCCACCTGAGGAAGAGGGAAAGTAGCTTGAAGTAAAAAGTGTGTGTCACAGCATCGAACCTCAGTGTTTGGACTTCGTTTTCCTTACTTGTATTTATATGGGTGACTATAATAGATCTATAGTACGTTGCAGCCCTTGAGGAAATGGTTGAATATTAGTCGCTAAAGCATTTTTGGAGGGCAAGGGAGTACAAAGTGGGGAAGAAATGGTTTGTGCCAGAACATTTTGGCCGCTTTCTAATCCACGGGAAATGCCATTTGTTCTGCTGCTGATGGAAAGAGTACAAAGCCGTACATACATGGTCATTTTGTGCTTGGCCCAAGAAAGACAGGAAATGCCCCTTTTCTTTTATGCTGAAACCCACAGTGCTGTTAAAGCAGGCTGTATTTCACATGCTCGTTCGTGGTGGGGTTGGTGCCGCCTTTATTTAGAATGTTTGAAAGATTGCCCAAGGGAGAAAAGTAACGGGTAGAAATGCTTAGTTACTGATTCTGAGTATGTATTTCAGTGATAATTAAGCTTCCCTTTGGCAATGATCTTCTCACATTTAGGTTTTACTTCTGTGTTTTACGTTTTCTTTGTTATGTTTCAATGTATAAAAATTGCATCTTGTTATAGGTGTAATGTATTATGGTCTTCCCCTGGCAGAAACTGAAGAATCCTGACGGTGCTAGCTTATATAAATAACATGTCTTTCTGTACACCCTGGTATTTTCTCTTACAGCTCTCACACTCCCTCCTGTTAGAAAGGGACCTACAGACAGACATTTTGGAGACACTGGAACTGGGTTTTTAGAGTACTTGTTCAGCCACGTGTCAGGCCATGAAGTGCTTGCTTGGGTGCAGGTGGTTGTCACAGTGAAGGTTCCGTAACATTGGTCCTCATCCCGTCCCCGACAGAGTGACAGATTCTCCTGACAGCGGAAAGGACCACGGGGACCATGTCTGGCCTTTCATTTTTAATTAATTCCATAGCTGTTCACTTCGTACCTACTATACCCAAAGCAGTAGATGGGATTCGGGCCCAAGTCAGTGAATGTTGTCAGGAAAACCATAAAGCCACCCAAATTTTGAATGCTGATTCTCAGCTCTTCTTTCTCTGAGTAAGCTTTTCCTTCCTGAGTCTGTTTTTCTTGGGCTTCGGGGGCGGGGGAGGGGGGAAACGGCGGCGGCACAGCTAATTTCATCGTTTATCCCTCAGGTTTTTTTCTATATTGGCATGTAAAAAATATTGCAGATGATGTGAGGAGAAAGTAGATGACTAATGAGCGCTTGCCCCTGACGCCCCGTCTCACAGCAGCGCTCCAGAGCTACCAGGTTCTGGGAGGGCTCCCCTTGTGTGGTCGCTGCTGCCCACCCCCTCCTCCCAGCAGGCACCGCCGTGTTGCACTTTAATCACTAGCGTTCCGTAACGTCTGTTACTGGCATTTACAGAGATTCCAGGTAGCTGCAGTCAGCTTTGAAAATTGTTATCCTTTTTAAAAGATTTTATTTATTTATTTGACGGAGACAGAGACACAGCGAGAGCAGGAACACAGGCAGGGAGAGTGGGAGAGGGAGAAGCAGGCTTCCCGCCGAACAGGGAGCCTGATGCGGGGCTCGATCCCAGGATCCTGGGACCATGACCTGAGCCGAAGGCAGACGCTTAACCAACTGAGCCACCCAGGCGCCCCATCCTTTTTTTTTTTTTAAAGGAATATCTAGAATTTTTTTCTTTTTTAAGATTTTATTTTTTTTAAGTAATCTCTACGCCCAATATAGGGCTTGAACTCACAACCCCCAGATGAAGAGTTGCATGCTCTTCTGACTGAGTCAGCTGGGCGCCCCAGGAATATCTAGAATTCTTGATAGCAGTTGTAGGAAGCCTAAAGACTGCGTAGTGTGAACATTACATGTTTTCCCTGAAAGCCCCAAGATTGCTTGGGTTTGGGGTTAACTTTTTTGTAAGGTCCTAGAAGCCTTACTGTAATGCTGTCTCCTTACCTGCTCCTTTAGGGGGCTCTCATGCTGGCCTCCACACTCGGTTTCTGGTTCTCTGTCATAAGTCCTGCTTCTGGGGCACTCACTATGAGTATGTTTTATCTTTGCTGTCTTAGCTAGAAGGAAGGGTTCAACCTAAACCTACTCCCTGGCTTTACAGCTGAGGCCATTCTTTCTCTAGACGCCTCTTCTGTTGTCCCCAGGCATTACTGCTATAAGAAATATCAGAGCTTGGACCCCATGCAGGGGTTCCCTAATGGCTCTTTGTGTAGGTCCATCCCCCTGACACCCCCTTAGGCCCCAGCCTCCACTAACTACTCCTTAATTCCCCTCTTGGTCTCTAGATTTTGATTGAAATTGTTATTTTGTTGGCTTCAAGTTCAGACTGTCCAGCAAGGCAGGATCCTGGAGTCAGTCAGCTTCAGTTCCCTCGTTGTACGTAAGGAAACTGAGGGGCATAGAGCCCATTTCTGTGATTCTCCACCCCCAATCTCAGGAACCCTCTCCTTGTGTCTCCTTGGCTAGAGTGCTGGGAGAGGCAGGTTCATAGTCGTTTTTCCCCCTGGGATTGTTTGGAGTAAGGTCCTTCACTGAGGTTCAAGGATAAGCTGGATGACTTTCCTCATTTTATTATTAGGAGGTATTTGTGCTATCAAATGGTCCTGACCATTTCAGTTTTAACTATGCTTATGAGAAAAATAATTATTATTTAAGTATTTAGGAATTTGAATTTAAAATTGGAAAAACTAAGAATCCTTATTAAATGTCAAACAACTTGCTAATTCAAAATGAAACATTCATGGCAATAGGGCAGACCCTGTAGAAATTAAGTACAAGGTTGGTAAGACAGAATTGGAGAGAAGATTGGCTTAAACTGAGAAGAGTTGGCAAATCACGGTGTCTATTCTTTTGGTGTGTTCTTTGTCTGCTACCTTTATTTAAGAAAGGAGGACAAGTTAAGAAAAAAAAATGGAGGAGTGTACAAGCTTTATTTTGAGAATCCTGCCGCTCCCTCACCTACCAACTAGAAATCTTCTGGTCTCTGCATTAAGGGGCATGTCAAGGCCTCCCCCCAGTTCACATAGGACTGTCTTCTCCATTGGGAGCTAGGAGTCACCAGTTATATTTGGGAACATAACTGAACTTCACACAAAGGGTGGGAATAGTCATGAGATCTCCCAAGGGCCCTGTAAGTTTGTCAGGGAGCAGAATCTGTGCTCTCCAACAGGAAAGTCTGGACATGTTCTCTCGAGATTTTCTTTGATCTAGGGGAGTTTGGCAGTTCCAAAAGCAGTTGAAGCGGGTGTGGAGAGCCACCTGCATTTTGAATCATTCTGCCTTTATGGAAGAGGCCCTGGGCATGGCAGTGGTTGGGGGGGGGTGGAGGGGGTGGGCGGAGGGGAGGCAGTTTTTTTGTTTATCATAATTGCAAGGCACTGCTGGTTTCCTGTGAGTGCGGGCTAGAGATAGTCAACGGGCTGTAACTTGTCTATAGGGTGAGGCCCTGTCGCAAGCAAATGCTGTCAGTCTCCTTCCATGCCCCACAAGGAGCAGTGGGTGAAGTTGTTCCTGCCTTAGCCCTGGAAGGGAAGAGGTTCTGCATAATCCAGGAATTGTTGTGTAGCAACGTGTCTTGTGCTCATCAAACCAGGGGGGTCTGAGTAATAGAATGCAGGCGATAAGAATTTCCTAGGTTTTTAAGGAGTCTGTGAAAACAGTGTTTCCTTGGTAATTCCAAGAGAGTATTTTGTGGGTGAAGGCCATGACTGAATTATAATAATATTTTATAGTGGCATCTACTTGTAGAAGTCCTCTGTTATTAATGATGAACTGAATACGGGTATTTATTTATTTTTAAAATTAAATTCAATTACTTAACATAGTGTATTATTAGTTTCAGAGGTAGAGGGTCAGTGATTCATCAGTCTTATATAACATCCAGTGCTCAACACATCACACGCCCTCCTCAGTGCCCATCACCCAGTTACCCCATCCTCCTACCTCCTTCCCCTCTAGCAGCCCTCGGTTTATTTCCTATGATTGAGAGTCTCCGGTTTATCTCCCTCTCTGATTTCATCTCGTTTTATTTTCCTTCCTTACCCTATGATCCTCTGTCTTGTTTCTTAAATTCCACATATGAGTGAGATTATATGATAATTGCCTTTTTCTGACTGATTTATTTCGCTTAGCATAATACCCTGTAGTTCCATCCACATTGTTGCAAATGGCAAGATCCCGTTCTTTTTGATGGCTGAGTAATAGAATACAGGTATTTAGAAATAAGAACAAAAGCTTCCCCATTTTGTGCTCTCTGATGATGGAAGTAAAGTGGCGGAGGTGCCAGAATCAAAAGCTTTGTTTTTCTTGAAACCATTTTATTCCGAAGAATTTACAGAAGTGCAGTATGTATTCTAACCCTTTTAAAGAAGGAATACCATCTTTTAGGTGAAAATTGGAGATAATCGATCTGTTTCTAAAAGGTTACATTTTCCTCCGCAGAAATGATATGCTATATTAAATCATAATTCACCTGCAGAAAATACAGCACGCTCTTACATGCAAGACCGAGGTGTATGTGTTTCTTGGGTGCACCACTATTGGGAAATATCTCTAAAATTCGTCGAATGAGGCTAGAAGTCAGGAAGTGTAGGAGCGCTTGGGCCTTGATCAGCATCCGTCTGTACCGAACAGAAGAGAAAGTAATGCTATTGGACTTGAGTGGCCCACAAAGGAAGCAGTGTGCTTGGATCCCAGAGGACCTTCTTGTGAGGAAGGCTTTTTATTGTTTATTTGCATTTCACTGATCTCTTCTGTCTCGGAGAAGGAGGATGAGAATGAGCAGAGAAGGCAGTGTTGCTTCTTGGGGTTTATTGGGTTGACATGAGTCTTCTAATTCCTGCTTCTCCTGGGGCCACACCCCCGCCTGCCCCCAGGCTGGCGCCGGAGGCATGGCGCAAGAGGTTAGGGATTGTCTTTTTCACTGGGTCCCCAAGGGCTTAGAACAGGGCCTGACACATGGCAGGCTCGCAGTAAATATTTGCTAAATGAATTTATAGAGTTAGCCGGAACCCTGAGTATTGTATATATTTCTGTTTGCTTAAAATGTTCCCTTCCCCCCCACCCCCCCAGAAGAAATACCTTTTTTACTCCTAGAAGCCAGATTTTATAATATTTTACCTCTCTGGGTATAGGGAGAATGGTGGGAAGAATTTTTTTTTTTTTAATCACACTGACAGCTAGTCTGTTGAATTTCCAAACAGAAAACCCTGTTCTGCCAAAGGCTGATTATCACAGTAAATAACTGTGACCTTTGCTTTTCATGCCCTTGCTTTTTTTTTTTTTTAATGCTATCTCTGGGTTCTTTTGTCCAGTTTTGATCCCTTCTAAGTGAGACTACTCAAAAGTTGTGGAAAGATAAAAGTGAAATCAGAAAATCCTTTTGGCTTGGTGTTTGAGGGAGGAGAGGTGAAAACCAAGATAATAGGACCAAAAGATACCTTACTTCTTTATCGACAAACTTCTATTTGCTTAAAATGATCTAATGCAATCCGTGTGAAAAGACATCAACTGTGGAATTGGTCAGTCAGTTTTGGAGCAAAGCGGGATACTGGAATAGACGAGTTCTTTTTTTTTTTTTTTTTAAAGATTTTATTTATTTATTTGAGAGAGAGAATGAGATAGAGAGAGCATGAGGGGGGGGGAGGGTCAGAGGGAGAAGCAGACTCCCCGCCGAGCAGGGAGCCCGATGCGGGACTCGATCCCGGGACTCCAGGATCATGACCTGAGCCGAAGGCAGTCGCTTAACCAACTGAGCCACCCAGGCGCCCTAGACGAGTTCTTTTTAAGGAGCCAGGACTGGAGGGTGCCGTGAGTCTCTCACGACAGCACTGGCCAGGCGGCTCTGCCCTTCCTCTGTTGGGATATAACATGTGTGTGTTTGTTTCTTAGCTTGACATCGACGACGAGGTCAAGTTCTGATGCTCTGCAGGGGCGATACGCAGCTCCTGAACTGGAAGTAAGTTCATTTCCTTCCCTGGTCCTGCTTCATCTCAGAAGACCCATTTTTCAGGAAGCCTCTTTCTGTGTGTTTGCATCTCTATTGATCTGCATCCCATTTTTCTCCCCAGGAAAGAATACAGTTTTTGTACAGAAAAGACAATGTCTTGTAGATACGATAGGATTAAAATGAATCTTTGATTTTCCTCCAACAAAACTAGCCTCTAGTGTGGCATTGCTGCCCATCTCCCACTCGAGGCCTGGGTAGCTTTGTCGGGCTGCTCTCTGCGATTTCCTTCTGTCATAATGGACTGTGTGTGTGTGTGTGTGTGTGAACTTCTAGTCCATTCTTCTGTGTTGTTCTGGAGAAGGGAAGGAGCAAGCATCTGCTCCCTGCCACACTGCTGAGCATTGTCTACGTATTAGCTTATGTAACTGCATCAGTTCCGTCAGGTGGGCATTTCACTGGATAAGGAATTGGGAACAGTAGAGGTCCAGAGAATCAGGGTGGTTGGCAGAATGTCTGTTACTTCCTTACTTGTGCAAAAGTCTTTTGCTGGGGCCCTCATGGAACATCCACTTAGGTCAGAAAAGGGCTAATCCCATGGAGGCAGCCAGAAAAAGACTCAGCCCTGACCCCAAGAATGGAAGGAACATGGGATTCCAATGGTGGCTGAGACTTAACAGCACTTGCTACATGCCAGGCAGTTCTAAGCGCTATATTTGTGATTGCATTTCATCCTCATAAAAACCCAGTGAGGGCTTTATCTCCATTTTACAGAGGGGAGAGACAGAAAAGTTATTTAAACTTCTGATTAGCTGGCATGTGGCCTGTGCACTCTGGCTCCGGAGTCCGTGGTCCTGAACTCTGCTGCCCGAGAGCTCAGCCGCTGGCTCCTGGCCCCTGGCCCCCGGCCGTGTCCTCGTAGCCTTCCCGGGATGGAGGAGCCCTGGTGTCTGTCCAGATACGGACACTCTTCTCTGCAGCTGGGGCTCTGGGGACGGTCTTTCCTGCACCTGACCTGGAGATAGTGAACATTATGAAGGGTTGTCAGTCTGCCAGCAGCATTCAACAGCTCTTTCTGTCCCTTCAAAAAAGGAGAAGGCTCTGCTGAGTCTGAATAGGTTACTGCTTCTTACACAGAGGAGAATGGTCTCTAGAAGGCAGGCATTTGTTCTCACCACTGGCCGGGTGACCACCTGCTGAGGTCGTGCTCTGTGGCTTCAATATCCCTATTGTGTAGAGTGCAAGCTCAAAGAACAGCAAGTCTCTAAGTTAGATTTAAGAGGATGCTTTCCTTCTCATTCTAAGGAAAATGTCCCACTGTTTTCTTCTGAACGGGAGAGCCTGCAAAAGGGAGAGCCTGCAAAACGGAAGTTGGTTTGCTCTCCTTGTATCAAGTTTCACAGGATATACCTTTGAAAGAGAGAGTGGTTTCTTATGCTAAGTTAAGCTTCAGAAGAACTAGGACCCCAGGATACCCTGTCTTGAGCCCACTGAATGATTAGTGAATCTTAGACTGTGTCACTTGATCCAAGATTCTGTCACGGCCATTCCCTCTTAGAAGTATCCCTGATGTAGTAGGGAAACGGGCTTGGCTTTGAGGTGTATAAATGAGATGAAGGCTCGAGCTCCATGTCCTTGTCCCTGGCTCTGTGTTCTTTCTTTTTTTTTAAGATTTTATTTATTTATTCATGAGAGACAGAGCGAGAGAGGCAGAGGGAGAAGCAGGCTCCCAAGGAGCAGAGAGCCCGATGCGGGACTCGATCCCAGGACCCTGGGATCATGACCTGAGCCGAAGGCAGACGCTCAACCATCTGAGCCACCCAGGCACCCTCTGTGTTCTTTCTAATAAAAGTACTGTCAGCCAGAAAGTGCCAAGGACCCAGTACTCCCCAGCCGGTCTTGCTACATGTAATGTTTCTTACTCTGTTTACCAGAGTCTTTCTGAAATCATGTATTAATTTTTCATAATCCAGTTTTTTATTAGTTTATTGTTCTGAGTAGGTCAGAAACACGGTACAATTTTTTTTTTTTAAGATTTTATTTATTTATTTGACAGAGACAGAGACAGCGAGAGCAGGAACACAAGCAGGGGGAGGGGGAGAGGGAGAAGCAGGCTCCCCGCGGAGCAGGGAGCCTGACGTGGGGCTCGATCCCAGGACCCTGGGATCATGACCTGAGCCGAAGGCAGATGCTTAACGACTGAGCCACCCAGGCACCCCAACACGGTACAAAATTTAAAAGGTGCCAGAGACTCTTCAAAGGAAGGCATCCCATCCATCCACCCCGGCCCCCAGTACCCCTGCCTCTGTAGAGGCAGACAGTTCAGCAGCCTGATTTCATAGGAAATGTAGGTGGGCCTCCTGCTTCCAGACCTCCTAGCTTTACCATGTCTGATTCTGCTGGCTCCACCACCTGCTAGACCTCGCATGCCTAGACCTGTTGCCTCTTGTGAACTGCAGACCTTGGAGTGCCTATCCTGCATTTATACTCCAGCTCTGTCACTGGACTCGTTTTGAACTTCAGGCCAGAATTGCTTGACCTCAGTTTCTTCAACTGCAAACAGAATAATAATCCCAGCAAGCAGAGCAAATCATCACCAGGAGTGAGCTCCGCGAGAGTGGGGACCTGTCTTATTCACCTTGCATTTCAGGTTGAATTTTCCAGAAACAGCTGCCAAGGCAGAGTTGACATGCACAGTATCTATTAGGGATCAACACACGTGGAAGGAAAGGAAGGGGAAGGAGGCAAAATTGGGCCAAGGGTGAAGTTGAAGGGCACCGTAGGCTGGACAAAGCCTCTGTTGACCCCTTCTGTGCCCCAGAGCAGATATGACCCATCAGAGCAGTCGCCGAGGGTCAGTGGCCGCACCCCTACACCCCTGCCGTGAGCAGTCATTCAATGTGGGTTGCTCAAGAGGGCTGGCTCTAGGGCAGGGCAACTCTGTGACCGAGGGAAAGCCTGGGAGCCGCCGTCTGGATGGAGGCTGCTCACAGCACTCCCAAGTAGCTGAGCGAGCACTCAGTGAGCGCCATTGAAGGGGCTCTAGGTGGCTCACCTCCGTGTCTGTTTCCTGTCGCCGGCACCAGAGCACTTGGGAAGAACAGATGCTTGGTCAGATCCTGTGGAAGGGGTCTTTACGAGGAAGACTTGGCACATCACGTGGATGGCCTTTAGTGAAGTAGAAAAGCCCCCTGACGTTGTTGGGTTTGCTCTTCCAGGTAGCCCGGTGTTGTTTTTGCTTCGGCCCCGATGGAGAGGGTAAGTAGTCAATCTCCCTTACGTGCAGCTCTAGTCTTAGGTGTTTGGGATTCACACCCAGAAAACTTGAATGGTAAGAGGAACGTTTTCTTCCAAAGCTGGTGTACTGTTGATCTACTTTTCACATTCTTCCTGAGTGATTGCTGGGTGTATTTGTGTTGGTATTCTGGCCAGCAAGAACCCGTTTCTGTTTTGGCTAATATGTAAGTTAAATTCTACAGTGAGATTTAGAGAAGGAGGAAGTACATTTTTTTCAAAGGAATGAAATTTGGAAAATTTCTTCCCTTCAACTTCCTTTTCTTCTTGGATTGGAGCATCCCAGGGGCTTGAGAACGCTTGGCTTGCTCTCTCACTTCCATCTGAGCTTATCCTGGGTTTTCTGTTAGTAAAGGTTCTCTTCTGCTCTGTTAAAAACGAATGTGGTGTTAGGAAACTCATCCTGTGGAGGAGGGTCCTGGGGTTGGGTGGGGGTTTTGCACGGAGGGTGTGGATGAAATTGCCTGAGGCTACAAACGGTTCTTGACATCTTTTCTACTCACCAGTCTCTGGGATTGGAATGAGTGAGTGTGACTGCTAACGCGGCAGGCGTGCACGTGTTCGCTCAATGAGCTTGCGCTCGCTTTGTGCCTCGCAGACGCTGAAGAGCAGCAGAATGTGAAGGAGGGACCACGGGTCATTTATGATGAGAAGAGAGGCACTGTCTATAGCTACTCCTATTTCCACTTCGTGTTCTTTTTGGCTTCCCTCTATGTGATGATGACCGTCACCAGCTGGTTCAAGTGAGTGGCCCATTGTCTTAGACATTTTAGAAGGGATAGTCTTTAGAAAATCAAGTTAAGTCCTAGTCTTTAAGTGCTGAGACCCACACTGAGTCAGCTAAACTCTTCTCCAAGTCCTGCTGTGCTCATCTACACAGAAACAGTCCTGGGGTCTCAACAGTCTGTGGGCATGCTTTTAACCCTGGGAATTGCTGATGCTCACGCCCCACAACCAGGGCTATGGTGGCGCGTGTCCCCTCATTCCTTTTCTGTGCATTTACAAGCCTGTGCAATTTTTAAAATATAAATACGATTATATGTGTTTCCCCTTGAGATTTTTTTGCTTTGTTTTGTTTTTTAAAGTTGGCAATACATGATGGATCTAACTTTCCCTGTCACTACATAGAAATTCTCTTTTAATTCTTTTTGGATCATTTTTCACTGATCCGAAGTTTTGGTTGGATCATAATTTGTTATAACTCAGAATACACATGGGATAGACATTTAGGCTCACTGTGCTTTCTTTTATCCGCTCATGCAGCAACTATTTGAGTGGCTTCGATGTGCTGCACTGTTAGAAATGGCAGGCTTATAATCTAACGGAGGAGACAGACCATGATCCAAATGCGGTGTGGCAGATAGTGCTGACTGTTAGGGAGAAAAATGAGGAAAAGGAATGAGGAGTACCAGGTGGGGTTTAGGGCTGGTGGGGCCAGCAGAAGGCTTCCCTGGGGAGATTTTTCCAGAACATCTTAAGGGAAAAGAGAGGAGGGAGCTTCTAATGTATCCCCAATGCATCTAATGCTTTGGTAATTCCTGGAAAGTTTTGGCATGGGAAGCTTAAAAGATGGAGGGAGCTATAATTAATAAGGCAGAAAATAACAGATATTGTCAAGAATGTGGGAAAAATTTAGAACCCTTTTACAAAAACTCCTGCTGGGATCGTAAACATGGTGCAACCACTTTGGAAAACACTTTGGCAGTTCCTCCGAATGTTAAACACAGAGTTATGGTATGACCTGGCTGTGCTAATCCTAGGTATATACCCAACAGGGAAGAAAAATATGGCCAGACAAAAACTTCTACGCACATCACGTATAAGCAGCATCACTTATCACAGCCAAAAAGTAGAAACCACCCAAATGTCTATTAGCTGATGAATGGATAAACAAAACATGCTATCTCCACACAGTGGAATATCACTCAGCAATAAAAAGGAATCAAGTACTGATCCATGCTACCACATGAACAAACCTTAAACACCGGTCACGAGAGGCCACATAATTCCATTTATATGAAATGTCTGGAATAGGCAAATCCAGAGAGACAGAAAGTAGATTAGTGAATGCCAGGGGCTGGGAGGAGGCAGGGAAATGATGTACACTTTAAATGGTGTGAGTTGTATCTGAATCGAGCCGTTAGGAGAAACAGAAAGGCTGGAGGGGATGGGAGCAGGGAGACCCCTTATGGAAGAGATCTTCTCACTGCCTTGTTCTCTTCTTGCTCTGACCACAGTTGGCTCTCGTTTCCACAGCTATGAAAGTGCCAACATCGAAACCTTCTTCAGTGGAAGCTGGTCCATCTTCTGGGTCAAGATGGCCTCCTGCTGGATGTGTGTGCTCTTATACCTCGGGACCCTGGTCGCTCCCCTCTGCTGTCCCTCTCGCCAGTTCTCTGTGTGAGGAGGATCGGAGCAGGCCTGCAGGCTGGAAGTGACATCCCTTGAACAAGTGTCCCAGGGGTCTGAGCCATGACTGGTGCTTCGTGAAAAGCTGGCATCCTCTGGCTGGTTTGAGTGGGTCTGAAAAAGGCTTTCAGAAAGAAAAAAAAATCACCTGATTGGCTTTTTAATTCGGAAAATCAAAAAGAAATAACCATTTTATTCCGAAAGAACTGAAATTTTCAACCAAGCTGATCCTGAGTGATATTTTGTGTGTGTCTCCGCTCTAAAAACTGGAAGACAAATTAGGCTAGTATTTTCCTTCTATACTTTTTTTTACCAAAACACAGTTTGGGGCATGACAGGGATAAATCTGATCTTGTCATTCTTATCCTTGGAATAGAAAACCTTGCCAAAATTTTGAACCCTCAGCCCCTGACGGAATGCAGATCCGTCTCCCATACCTCGGCCGGGAGCCTCATCTGCAGTGGGCTCTGCAGAGACCACTCATCCTGCAGGCTCCTTGCTCTCAGCTACTTGGTATTTATAGGGTACAAGAGGAAGCACCTGCTTTTAACTCCACCCTTGTGCTGTTTCCTCCTGGCCTCCAGACGTTTCCCTTTGAAGCTGTGATGCTGGGAATCACAACTTCACACTCTGCCCTTGCCCTTCTCAGAGGTCCCCTCATCCTTTCTGGGCTCAACGTCTTTGCCCTAATGTGAAAAAGCACAATTTGCCGTCACTACCATGTGGTTCTCCCACTGTGCTATTCCTTCCTGATCCGAGTTCCTGCAATAATTGTGACTCCTATTTGTGGTGTTATTCACATGATTATAGAACAATATCCATGTTGTTTTCTTTGTCTGAATGATGGAGGGCTATCGTTCTTACTTGTTTGTATTATTAATATTAATAATACTCTAGGACCTTACCTTGACTGAAGCCCGCTGCACCTCTCTTTCAGTTACGAAAGTCAGCCAGTTTCTCTTCCACCTTGAGGCCTTTGAAATTGTAAAAGCAAAAGGGCTCTTGTTTCCTGGATCTGGAAGGTGCATGATAATATTCACTGTGGTTTTTTGGAGTAGATTTGCTGAGGTGAGGATTCCAGGCAGCACCTCAAACTGGGCTGACCAGATAAGGCCTATCTCGTACAAGTTGTAGAAGTGGCCAAATATACTTAGAAGAAATCGTAGGGGGTGAGGGGATGGGGAGGGGGGTATGTAATTAAGCCATAAGCAACATCCATGGAGATTTCCAAAAATACGAACTTGTAAAGTAATACTCATAAGAGATTTGACTTTAGGCAGCTGCCCAAGAAGATATCCGTGTTCAGTGTTGATGTCCGTCCTCAGTCAGGGAAGAGTTTGCTCAGTGGAAAGTCTATTAGGGACCCCAGTGGAGACACGGTGGGGATGCTCCCAGGAGTGTCTCGTGCAGGGTGGAAAGGGTCCTCTCGAGCTCCCTGGCACAGAGGGTCTGAGAATGGAGACACTTGGCCTGTACTTTGTGTGTCCTGCCAAGTTGGGCAGAATCGGGTCCCTGTGTGCCAAAATGCTGGTGTGGGGAATTAGTCCAATTCTTCATTTTTGCTCCTTTGCCCTCCTCCCAGGAACACAAGCGGGAAAACGAATTCAGTGAACGAATTCCTCTAGAATCTTGCCTTATTTATGTTTGAGGTTCCGTTTTTAAAGGCAGTCGTGTATGGGTGAGAGCCTTGTTTTTTGCAAACTTAATCCAATTTCTTATTTTAGGCCAGAAGCTCTTTGAGCTTGGCAGTTGAAAGGTCTCTGGCGTCACAAAACGGAAAGCCGCCTCATGCAGTCCCTGTTAAGCCAGTGGGCCTGGGAGCTCTGTGGGTCGGGGACAGGTCGAGGGAATGGGTTGTGTATGGGACAGCCCCCGGGCAGGAGCTGCCACGGTGGCTGGTGTGGTGACACAGGGCTCTGGGTAAGCTGAGACTGGCTTTAGGAAAGACCGCGAGCAGAGTCCCATCAAGAGCTGGGATGCTAGTTTCATTGTGATTTCTTCCTGCCAGGGTCTAGCTGGTTTGGGCAGCCAGCTATGTGACTTGAGAACTGGCCCTTAGGGCAGGTCACGGTCCAGCTGACAAGGCTCCTGGTCCTTGGCTGGCCTTTGTTGGCGGGCTTCCCCTGCAGAAAGAAGCTCAGGGAAACAGAAAGGAAAGCATTCGTTGCCAGTGGCAGGGCCCCCAGTGCTTCCTTCTTTAGCCGGCCCAGCCAACGCATGTTTTGGAGCTGCTTAAAACTTGGTTTGTGGCCCAAAGTTCTTGAAGTTTAGTTTAGTCTGACACGAGAGGCAGAGTTGCAGTCACTCTGATTTTTAGTCTCAACTGAGAGTCGAAGCAAGTTTATCTGAATGATGGGAGAGATGAGGATATACCCTAAGGACTGAGGGCATATAAATAAGGTGACTTTAATGATTATTCATTGTCATAAACAATACTCAGGTGATGAGTCAATGTTTGTGGGTGTAAAGAACCTACATTCTTGTGCTGTTGTGATTTAAGAAACTGGAAAAATTGTGCCAATTGCTTTGAGTTGCTATAATGAAGGTGTTCATTGGATAAATTCACTGATCTCTTTTTAAAATAATTTTGCTTCCTACAACTTTTTGTACATCATTTTAAAAACTACATTCCCAGTAGCTGCTGGTCAGACTCCTTTAGCGATACAAGAGGGAGAAGTTTTTTAAAAAGCTCTATGTGTATGTTTCTTCTGTGCTATTCCTCCAATGTGGAAATTTTTTCCCTTCTCGTTTTCATGAGTAGAAACACTAGGTGGGGGAAAGGATTCTTCTGGGAATGTTGCTGTATACCTAGATGGGTCGTCATCTGACTGAGGCTGGAGACTTTTCTGTCAAAAGCTTTTGGAAACCCAACTTGGTCCTTATTGGGTTGAGTTTTTATAATACTGGTTAGTTGGTTTTGCTTTTGTCCTCTCAGTTCGGCTTGAAAGAATTGTTCCCCAGAGGTGTTTGGGGCTCTTTGGTGGAGTAGAAGGACTGTATGCATGTGGGCTGTTGGAAGGTGGGGTTACTGGAGATTTGGGGTTCTGGTGCCCATCAGGAATGGTCAGCAGTTGGGCCCCCACATCTCATTTTTTAAATTTCCAGTTCCTCAGAGGATCCTTCATTCTGGATGACCTTCGTGTAATGCTAATCCCCACCCTCACCCCCATATTGTCCCCCTCTGCCTATTTAAGATTATGTACTTATTTAATTTTAGCCAGAAGTTCATTGGTGCTTCATGTTACCCTGCAAAGGGAATTCCAGAGCCTTTGTTTAAGCCTCCTTGGCTTTTTTTCTCCTTTGACTCCCTTTCTAAATAGCATTTCATTTTGGCGTACATTTGTGTTCTACTCCTCTTGGAAGTGGAAGCGGTTTTAATCTATAACGAAGAAGGGTGTGACCTTGGGCTAAGACCCTGCCTGTCCAGAGAGAACGCTGGGTCCTCCTTAATCAGGGACAGTGCAGTAGTCACTCAGCTCATGGAATTCTCTGTAGGAGACTGTCCTAACAGAACTAACTCCCTCTGCTTTGTTCTTAAGGCCACCATGTTTTCTGCCATCTTGAAAATGCTTGTAAAGCCTCAGACACGTTCATCTAGTGTTGCATTTCAGGCAGAGATGGGCTCGCTCATGTTGGACTTATGTTACAGAGCTAGAGAGCTGTTTACGTAGATCTTTCAAACTAATGCTGGTCATTCTAAAGATCTTTATCTTTTTAAAATTTTCTTCCTCAGTAAATCACTTGGAGAGGCATTCATTTTGAAAGGGGGAAATATTTGGCTTTTACCAAAGAGGGTTTTTTGTTATTAAGCAAAATTCCTTCAGAAAAACTTAATTGGGTAAGGATAGATTAAAAACGCATATGTCCAAATCCACTTCTGTAGGAGTTCAGTCATTTATGTGAGTAAAATGATGAAGAACTCTTTAAGGTAATCCTCTGGGTGAAGGATCCTGGGAAATTCTCTCAGGTAAAGAAAGCTTGCAACAGATGTGTAATATATGTCTTGAGAGTTATTTATAAGAAATTTAAGAGGATTGTTTTGCTTTCCTATATTAAAGATTTAAGTTCTTTTTTTACTTTGCAAAAAAAATTCTACAAAAAGTTTTATAATTGTAACATTGTTAATTTTTAAAACTTTTCCAAAACAATTAGCTGTAGCCGGATTATGTGGTTATGTTTTGCTCTACTTAGAATTTGAAATGTAATATGTGTGGTAAATTTACTGTTTGAAATTTATAATAGTCTTGGATGTGGTTAGAGTTTTGTTAACTTTTTAAAAAATTATTTTCTTCCCTCTAGTCACAAAGGCAACTGTGGGTTTATATTTGGTTTTTGAATGCTAATTTTTCTATGAAGCATCTGAAGTTGACCAGTCTTTGCCTATGTAGAAAACTCAAAACTTGTTAACTCTGTACTTTAATAAAATTTAAAATGGAAAACTACATCATTGTTGTTGTTTTGGTTTTTGTGTTTTTTTGTAATTAAACATCCTCCAGGTGGTGTTTTTTTTTTTTTTAAAGATTTTATTTGTTTATTTGACAGAGAGAGACACAGTGAGAGAGGGAACACAAGCAGGGAGAGTGGGAGAGGGAGAAGCAGGCTGCCTGATGCGGGGCTCGATCCCAGGACTCTGGGATCATGGCCTGAGCTGAAGGCAGACGCTCAACCGACTGAGCCACCCAGGTGCCCCTCCAGGTGGTGTTTTCCGAAGATGTTGCCTTCAGATGTTAATCACCATTCTCTCAAGCTCATAGAATCTTTTCTGATTCTTGATAATGAAAATATAAACATGAAAACCCAAATTTTTTGTTTCCTCCACCCCCCTCTCAAAGCTTTTGTGGACTGCCTTTTTCCTATTCTTAGGCTAGTGCCACACTATCTTAAATATGAGAATTAGAGTGAGTCTCTAAGGAAGGTAGTAGAAGTCTTCCAGCATGGGCCTTCTTTTTCAAGATTCGGCTTTCCTAGGCCTTTTATATTTTCCTTAAAAATTAGGCTTGAGTGGGATGGCACTGTGTCATTAGGCTAATTTGGGGAGAATTGACATTATAACAACATTAAGTCTTCTGATCTAGCATTATTTTTCATTCATGTAGGTTTTTAAAATTTTCTTTAGTAGCATGGTATAGTATTTCTATTTTTACTAAAATGTCTTCATGTGAAATTTAATCTTTTTTTTTTTTTAAAGATTTTATTTATTTGTCAGAGAGAGAGTGAGCACAAGAAGGGGGAGCAGAGCGGCAGGCCGAGCAGGCAGAGGGAGAAGCAGGCTCCCCACTGAGCAGGGAGCCTGATGCGGGGCTCGATTCCAGGACCCCAAATCATGACCTGAGCTGAAGGCAGATGCTTAACCGACTGAGCCACCCAGGCATCCCATAAATTTAATCTTGATCCTGCTAGTCCTTTTTTAAATGTGAGATTAGTTTCGTGAGTGTTTAAATTATGCATGTCACATAATATAAAAGTGACCACCTTGGGGCGCCTGGGTGGCTCAGATGGTTAAGCTGCTGCCTTCGGCTCGGGTCATGATCCCAGGGTACTGGGATCGAGCCCCACATCCATCTCCTGGCTCAGTGGGGAGCCTGCTTCTCCCTCTGCCTCTCCCCCTGCTCATGCTCTCTCTCTGTATCTCTGTGTCTCAAATAAATAAATAAAATCTTAAAAAAAAAAAAAAAAGTGACCACCTTAAACCATATCAAAGTATATGGTCAATAGTGTTTTGTTTTTTTTTAAAGATTTTATTTATTTGACAGAGACATAGCGAGAGAGGGAACACAATACTGTTGTGCAACCAACCTCCAGAACTCTTCTCATCTTGCAGAGCTGAAGCTCTGTACCCATTAAACAGCTTCCCACCAGCCCCTGACTTTCTACCACTATTCTACTTTCTTTTCTATGAATTTGTCATTTGCTTCATTTTCCCCCTTCTGTTTCTTCCCACATAGATGCTGATCCTGTTCAGGTCTTCTGACTCACTTGTACTTTGGGGTGCACCACTTTTTGTTGCAAATGTTGTCCACGTGTTTTTGGTTGTGCCAATTACTCTGTTTTTGTGTGGGAATTCAGGAATATCCAAAATTTCTGCTTCTATCATTGCCATCATTTCTTCCATTCACTCTTGAATTGAACCCATTGCAATAGGGCTTTACACACACCTTTTCCCTGAAACTGCGTTTTCGGGCCATTGGTAACCTCTATGTTGCTGAATCCATTGTCCTCACCTTACTTGGTTTATCAGAAGCACTTGAAAGTATCAACTAAATGGCCTTTTTCAGATTTCACTAGTATTTATATATACCCTGTTTTGAAAGGGATTGTCTATTAGAGTTATCTTGTCTCTGTTGACATTGTACTTAAGATCAGAAGAGGCAGGTAACTTTTCTCGGGTCCCAAGTCTCTGCACCCACAGAACCACATTCAAAGAATCACCTCTGGAAGCATGGTCTATAAGTGGACGTGACTTCATTCTTAGCACCACTTTCTGGACCATCCCATAAGGCCTGATTTGCAGCTAAGTAGTTTGCTCAGCCTGCTTCCAGCCCATAATGACTGGGAGTCAGTGGCTTAGTTTGAATGATTTCTGTCTCAGTGTAAGGTGGTGGTGCTTTTGCTCATTTCTCTTAAAAACATTGTGTTCGGGCGCCTGGGTGGCTCAGCCGTTAAGCGTCTGCCTTCGGCTCAGGTCATGATCCCAGGGTCCTGGGATCAAGTCCCACATAGGGTTCCCTCCTCGGCGGGGAGCCTGCTCTCCCTCTCCCACTTCCGCTGCTTGTGTTCCTGCTCTCGCTATCTCTGTCTCTGTCAAATAAATAAATAAAATCTTTAAAAAAAACAAAAACAAAAAAAAAACAAAAAAACATTGTGTTCTCTGGGAATCTTAATGGGATTCATTAAATCTGATAAAAGCCATCTCCGCGGGGGCGCCTGGGTGGCTCAGTTGGTTAAGCGACTGCCTTTGGCTCAGGTCATGATCCTGGAGTCCTGGGATCGAGTCCCGCATCGGGCTCCCTGCTCGGCAGGGAGTTTGCTTCTCCCTCTGACCCTCACCCCTCTCATGCTCTCTCTCTCATTCTCTCTCTCTCAAATAAATAAATAAAATCTTAAAAAAAAAAACAACCCATCTCCGCGGATCTTTTCTAGAAGACCTCTTCTTTCGGCGGCAGGTCAGAGTGCTGTGTGCAAGTACTCCTATTCTTGGAGAAGCCTTTTTGTCTAGCCAGGAGGATCTGAGAATCACTCCCTCAAATCTTTCTGAGGTCTTAGCTGAGAGGGCTTTATCTTGACCCTGAGGTCACATTTTACTTGTGGCATCTGAGAAATAATAAGTAGCTAATAAAATAGTGCTGTTGAAAATACTTCATTGAATGTGTCCAGTTGTATTGTTAAATGAAAAGTAGTTGAGAAAAACTATTGCAGTGCAACCCAAGTCCTGGGTGTGTGTGAACTGTCAAAGAAGAAAATTATCCTGATGCTTGTTAAAACAGTAAGGAAGAGTTTATTCGGGACTATTGTCCTTTGAGTTCTACAACAGGGCAGAGATCAGGCTGTTAAAAACAAGACAACAGGCCCAAAATGGGAGTTGCTTATGCTAAGGTCCACATCACCAAATGGAGACTTAGTTTTGGTTCTCTCTCCGAGAGTTTGGTTTCTCTCTCAGAAATCATACACCAGTTAATCAGGAATCATAAGCCAGTTCCTTAGGAATTACTTGATGAGCATCAGTTAGGTAATTGGCTCGTTGACGCCCGTCATTCCCAAAGGAAAATGACCTTGCGATAACCAATCCAAGTCTTTGCCTAGTATAACTTCCTTGTTTCCTCTGCCTTGTGCCTATGACTTCCATTTTGTACAGCTACTTGGAGTTCCTTTGTATCTGCTAGATTGGATGCGGCTCAATTTGAATCCATTTTTGCTCAAACTCTTAAATTTTTAAATATGCCTCAGTTTATCTTTTAATAGACTGAACTCTGAATACAATAAGGACAAGTGGGAATGTGTAGCCAAAAAGCAGAGGGAGGGGGTCAGTGGATGGACATTACAAGAGGAGACATCCAAGGGTAGGGGGGATTCTTGCTAAATTGACCTAACCAGACTCTTGCTAAGGCAGACCAAGGATTTATACATCAAAGGTGAGGGATGTTGGGGCACCTGGGTGACTCAGTTGGTTAAGCATCTGCCTTCGGCTCAGGTCAAGATCCCAGGGTCCTGGGATCAAGCCCCGTGTCAGGCACCCTGCTCAGTGGGAGCCTGCTTCTCCCTCTCCCTCTCCCCCTGCTTGTGCTCTCCCTCTCTCTGTCAAATAAATAAAATACTAAAAAAAAAAAAAGTGAGGGATGAAGAACATGAGCCAGTATCAAGGGTGGGAGGTTCTTGCTAAGACTGGGCTATGCAGGCCTGGCAAGGACAGGATGAGCATGGACGGTCTAGGCCTAGTCAAGAAGAGAGCCCAGGAACTTATGGGCTTGGAACTGAAAATACAGCAAATCAGGCCTTATGGGCTTGGAACTGAAAATACAGCTGTAGAATGGCTGCTGTCTTGAACCAAGGAGGTGGGAAACCTTTTTAGATTTTATTTATTTTTTTGAGAGACAGCGAGTGCAGGTGGGGTAAGGGGCAGAGGGAGAGGGAGTGAGAATCTCAAGCAGACTCCCCAGTAAGCGCAGAGCCCAGTGTGGGGCTTAACTTCACGACTGTAAGTTGATGACCTGAGCCCAAAATCAAAAGTTGGACACCCAACTGACTGAGCCACCCAGGTGCCCCAAGGAGATGGGAAACTTAAAAGATATTGTTAGTGACTCTTTTAGGCATTATGGACACAGGGAAGAAACCCAATTTGCAGGAAAGCTACAGGATTGAAGCAGACGTACAGAGGAGCACTTGTTAAAGAGAAGGGGGAGGCAGAGAGAGAATGGGGTTCTGCATGTCCTATGGTGTCCAGTCCCCAGCTCTAATCCGTTCTGGAATTCCAGTTTAAAACGACAATGGGGGGCGCCTGGTGGCTCAGTCGTTAAGCGTCTGCCTTCAGCTCAGGTCATGATCCCAGGGTCCTGGGGTCGACGGGCTCCCTGCTCAGCGGGAAGCCTGCTTCTCCCTCTCCCACCCCCCCTGCTTGTGTTCCCTCTCTCGCTGTGTCTCTCTCTGTCAAATAAATAAATAAAATCTTTAAAAAAATAAAATAAAACGACAGTGGTAGTTCATGTTTATGGAACCCTTGATGTGTGCCCGGCATAATCCTCACAAAGATCCCATGGCCCTTACTCTTCTAACCCTCATTTTACGCATGGGGAAAAGGGGAAACTTTTCTTAAAATTCTTACTAAATGCAATTGTTTTTACAGAGGTTGCCAAATCTCTGCTCTCCCCATTGCTTTTCCTTCTTTTCTTTACCACACCCTCCCCCACCAACCCAAACTATCCTTTCAAGTCAATTTTTTCCTTTTCAT